ATTTCTTTGTATGTACGGATCACTTGGGTTGTAACCGACAACTGGTGAAAATTTCATGTCATTAGCACCTCTAGTAATATATTTACTGAGAAAAATGGTGACATGTTCAATACTTCTTTTACCCACTGTATCAATAATTGATTCAGCAAAATTAACACTTTCTGCTTCAGCCACTTTCATTTAAAGCCAGTGGTTTGTTTGGGTGTATGAATCTGTTACAATACCTCATGACCACTAAACCAGTTTTACTGAAACTGGCAAAAATATTTATTGGACATATGAAAGCCAACCCAAGATGACTCAACAAACGGACATTAGAAAACACAAATATGGTTACAAATGCAGTCCTAAAACTTGGTGTTTGTGCAGAGTCATTAATGGCCTACACTTCAAATTACACAGCAAAATATCTCATTAATCACTGAATGGATATAATTATACTTAAAGTAATATGTGAATATACATCTACAGGATTATATTTTGGAGTCAATCCAAACATGATCTCCTCAGGTAATCAACATTAGCAAACACTCACAATGGCTATACGTGCACTTATATTCTTAGTGCTAATAGTCAGAAAATTAGTGTTTGGTTGGTTATTTCTCTATTGTAACAATACTTCTTTGCAATAAATCTTCTGTCTGCACCTGACTGGCAGCACCTGGGGGTACCAGACGGTCAAAACAAGAGTCAGTGGCAACAACAAAAAACGCTGTTTGAAAACTCACATCCTCAGCTCTACTGCTCATCCCACAGATGCATGTTCCTTACAAATGTGTCACCATTTAAAAGAGAAATCAACAGGCTTTCCAACGGGATAAGATTTATTAACAAGAAGCATTGTTACAACAAAGAAATGATCTACCAAACATTTATTTATTGACTTCGTAGCTGAGAGTCATCGTAAAATCAAAATCAAATAATTCTATACAGTGAAATATTAGTTAAGAAATGACTTACTAATAAAAACAGAGGAAGAAAAAGATAATCTTGCAGTATGATGGAGTTTTGATCTCTAAACAGCTTCTAATAAGTCAGATCTTATTCACAGCTTCAAAGGCAGCAGACAGTTGTGTTGCCGTTCACTGAAGTGAAGAATCCTGTTAGCCTGACAAACACTAGGTGACTCTGCTGACACCTGTTCAGGATGAAGGAACAGTCACACAGAGTCCCACTCCCATCGTCGTGTCGTTTCTGCCGGAGCGGCAGCACACACAGGACCTCTTCAACTTGATGAGGGCAAGAAACAAAGCTCACATTCAGTTTCCTGTGTTTCCACAGTAACGCTGTGAAGAAAGGTGTGTTTTCCTCATTACTGAAAGACGAAAACATGCAGGCAAAAAAAGCTTTTATTTTTTTTTTTGTTTTATGAATTTTTTGCTAAGTTTTAAGCAAAATTTAGAAAAAGGCACTGAGATTGCTGTTAAATAAACTCTTCTTCTGAACCTTTTAAAAGGAATGTTTCCAAATTCTGACTTGATTAGTTCAACTATAACTATTTCTGCACCATTTTTATTTAACAATGTGTTACTTTTATGGTTAAATGAAAGATAGAAATCTGACCAACAGACAAGTCACAATAAAAACATCTTTAACTCATTAAATTTGGATCAATGGTTCCAAACGTGTGTTTCAGCCATTTTGGTCAAATCTTGACAAGGATGACTCTCAGCTAGTGCCAAAACTAACTTTAGTTCAGATCTGTCTTTTTGAATAAGTTATAAGCATATTTGAGTTGCTGAAAGCCAACTAGCTGTTGGTAGACATTTTTACTGAGACCAAAAGTATTCAGAGTAAATTTACATCAAATACATTTAGAGTTCAATGGTTTCCAATCCAATGGTTTGTGAAATATTTTACCAACACAGGGACAGTGCTGACACCAACACTTAGAACCAAGATGTCACACATTAAGCAGCACTCAAAGCTGGAGTTTGGGATGACTCATCATACATGTGAGTCAATACTTTCTCAAACCATCTGTCACAGCAGTCCAGCTGCAGGTCTTCTGGAGGTCGTCTCTACCAGCTCTGTAGTTCAACTCCAGCTCGGTCAGCTGGTTGGAGAGCATCTGTAAAGCAGGTCTGGACTTTAACTCATGATTATTCTTTGATCTAAACCATTCCACCTGAAGTCTGTCTGGAGGTTTTGGGTCTTCGTTCTGCCTGAAGGTGGACTTTCACCTCAGTCTCGGGTCTTCTTCAGACTCAAATAGGTTTTCCTCCAGAACTGTCTTGGTTTTTATCTCCATCAGTCTTCAGACCAGTTCCTCTGATCCTGCTGAAAGTTTCCCCACATCATGATGCTGCCACCGCCATGTTTCACTGTGAGGATGCTCAGATTAAACACACGTGTTACTGATCAGCTGGCTTCTGGAGGTACCAGAATAAAGGGGGTGAAAACTAACCCCGGATTTATACTACGTGCCTCTCCGCTCCGCTGCGCAGCGGTGCGCAGGTCGCAGCTGTTCGTTTGTGTCTCATTTTAAACAGCGTCCGCTCCGCTCCGGTCCAACACAGAGGAGGGAGCTGTTGAGGAGGAAGGAGATCACGCGATAAATCCAGTGATGTGGAAGTCACAGCAAAAAATAACTAATTCTGTGAAAGACGAACTCTAAACACAGCTGAAAACAACGATATAAAGGCTTTTGTTATCTATGTTTGAAACTGTCTCGCTGTCGTCTTTCTGAAACTTCTTCTTTCAAAATAAAATCCACGTGTATCGTGTGTGTACACATATGCTTCATGCTACGTTTCCATCTGCTTCCCAAACAGAACAATACATTCTGACAGCATTTGTGTAGAAATATATCCATTTATTTATTAAAATAGTTGCAATTTCGACATTATTCTGACAAATTATCCAGCCTAAAAGTGTCTTATTTTGAAAATACAGATGTTGTGCTCGTTTCTTTTCCTGTTGGTGCAACGTAATCTTTAAAAATTGACTCTGGCGCAGCTCCGTCCGGCAAAAATAGGATCTGTTCTAATTTTGATGGATCGCTGTCCGCTCACCGTCGCCCTGCGCAGCCAGTGTAAACACTCTCACTGATTATAACGAGTGCATATTTGCTGCGGATGTCGGACCGGAGCGGAGCGGAGACAGAACGCATGTAGTGTAAATTAGAGGTAATGCATAAACAAACTATTTTTCGGATGTTTATTTGAGAACAATATGAAAACCACCATAATTTCATAATTTCCCTTCATGCAAATGCTTCTCCATGTTGGTCAATCACATCCAATCCCAGTAAACAGTTTGGAAGTTTGTCAGGTCATGACAAAATGTGGAGAAGTTCAAGGGTGATGAAGATTTTTCCAAGCCCCTGTTTACACATTTCTGCTGAAGATGTGAGACACTACAGGCTAATTACAAAGAAGGCCCCAGTGAGGCAAGGTTCCAGCCACGGACCCCTGTTTGCCAGTAAGGTCAGCAGGTTACTTTGAGCTCATCTAATTGGCTCTGGGAGGTGATTCTGGCAGATGGAGAACTGTGCAGAAAAAAAAATACGCTTTAGCAGTTGAAGCATGTGAAAGGGCAGCCTCATTATTGCACAGACCCCTGCTGTCCAACAGACATCTAAGAACCAGCAACTACCACCAAGAATGTTCAGAGCTGAGAAGCAATGAGCTGCCAACAACAGCTGTCCTAACAAGACACAGGTGGAGAACAACAGGGTCTTTATCTCGTCTCAGATCTTTTTTGAACTTCTTTCTTTGTCAACTCATTTTTCACTTCAAGGCATAAAAACATAAGACATAATACATGTTTAGATGTCTGAAATCCTATAATGATCTATTTTATACCCCATCACATAGCGTTGTTTATACTGTATGTTCCTTGCATGTTTTCTCTTTTCATTATCTTCCAAAATCTATTTTTAGAGTCTGTATAGCCATGGTTACACCAGGGTGCAGGAGACTCACTGGTTCTGCTTATGGTCTCCACAGCATTTCTACTTACATGATCCTACTGAAACCATGAATGATCTGCAGATTAAAAAATAAAAAATAGATTTGAATGATTGAAACAGCTCCAGAGCATGTTTGTGTGGCAGTGAATCCCTGCTGGTTTTAAAATGTATTAATAAAATGCATGATAAGGTATAAACTAATAAAAACAAAAATTAAATCAGCAATAGGATGAACTTCTAATGTAGGGTCTCGTTAAATCTGTCTTGACCCAAATTTCATTTTCATTTTTCTAAACTTTCTAAACAACTTTCTAACATTATTACCATCCAAACTCCCATATCAATCAATGAGTTAATGCCTGCCTGTTCGGGGCGGGACACAAAGATCTGAAACGCTTCAGTCTACACTTCATGAGATCAATTAACTCTCACACATCTTAAAAAGTCACTTCACTGTACAAATCAAAGAAAATATTGCTTGTAAATTTATATTTATAACAAACTGAACAGACTTCTCAGCTAATCTGATTAAAATACGAGTAATATCAATTTCAGTGCAAACGATCATTTGAAAAACACAGTATTTTGTTTAAATTTAACCATTAAAATGTCAAAATGTATCCCATTCTTTTAATTCATTTCATTCACACGAACAAAATCTTTATACAGTAAAATAAAAACAAAAAGTTAATCATAATGTGAATGAAAAAGGTGCAGAGAGAAGAAAAATCTCATATCTGCCCCTTATTTAAAAAAAGACCTTTAACAAATAAACTCAAACTTCAACCATCTCCATAATTACAAAAAATAAACAAAAAACAGGATCAGATTTCTTCATATCTTATTTCCACTAGATACTGCAAATGATACATTTTCCCAATAATTTTGACTTGATCATCCTTTTAATATGCAATATAATATATACAGTATACAGTATATATATATATATAGAAAATTTTCACCCGAACAAAGAAATGTGGTATCATCTGCAAATAAAATACACTTCATAAGCTCTGACACATTTTCCAAGTCATTCACATATAAAATAAACAGCTTTAGTCCAAACACAGAACCCTGAGGAACTCCACATGTAATATGAGAGAACGAACATCTAAAGTGGTGCACTGACAGAACCTCATGGTGACTGTGGAACATTTACTTTGTGGTATTTAAAATACCAACCTTGCTTTATAGTCTGGTCATTTTTAACAGATGCTCGGTCTATCAGTCATCAGTGGTTAGAAGTAATGTTGCATTCACACAAAACGCGATTTCAGCATCAAAATCACGTCCAACACTGTAAGTTGGATGCTCCTGCACTTTGAGGTCAGACACGAGTCAAAATTGCACTTGAAGCACTGAACGCGCGTCCAGCATGTCGAGAGCCTCCCCGCCCCCTCCCTCCTCTGTCGATCTCTGTTTAATGCCGGATGAAATAAAGGAAGTGGCTTTGCTTTATTTACTGACTGCATGAGAACGTCACACTCAGATAATTAATTCATAATTAATTCACCAGACAATTCAGAGACGTTCTGAGTTTGGTGAGTTTTATTACCCAGGAGCTGTGAGCTGACTCGAGACTTGCAGCCCGCTTTCAGAACAATTTTTGTCCCGACTCCAGTTTGATAAGCCGCTGACCCGCATCAGTGCTGATATCTCCTGCCAGGACACCCACTACAGGCACTTGATTTCAGCTAAAGAGCTCCTGTCCCTCTGTCTCAGGTTAGTGGACATCATTCAGGAAACTGTCCCGTCAGAAAATGTGTCGCTGTGTCACAAAGTAGAGTCTCTCTGATTGGTTGACGTGGCGCGTCGAGCTGCAAAAGTTCAGATTTTCCAACTCCAGCATCCGATGCGTCAAGCGCGTCGAATGCTCAAATCACTCAAATCGTTCCGCTCTCATCGCGCTTGAAGTGCCGCAGCACTTCCCGGCGCTGCTTGACGCGCGTCCACCATTCACTTTGCATGTAAACCTGATGCTCCTGATGCTGAAATCACGTTCGGTGTGAACGCAGCATTAGAGTAACTTACTGTGGCCTGGAGGCTTCAGCCTGGTCAGTCTGCAGCTTCTCTCCTCCCTCCACCTCCATGGTGCAGTAAACAACTTGATTTGGAGCCAGCGACTTCAGCCCGTGGACCTCAACGATCACAATCTGACAAGATCAACAAGGGATCAATAGTAACAGATGACAGGTGAAAAACACACACTAATAGATGACTGGATCAAGATATTTTTAAAACATGCATAACAGGTTGCCATCAGGTCCAGGCCTCCCTTGAAAAGAGATCTGAGATCTCAATGGGACTTTCCTGGTTTAATAATGGAAAATAAATAAATAAATAAATAAATAAATAAATAAATA